CCTGAGGATGAGGATCTCGATGAGAAGTTCCAGCCGTTCAAGCCTGTTGCGCCTGCACGGCCATTGCGACCACCAGTAGCCCTTTTGTCTAGCACTACTGACCACTGCACAGTCCCTGGTGACGCTGCTGGTGACGGACACCTTTCCTCTAGGAAGACTACAAATTCTAACGCGACAACTGGTGAGCGAGAGCAGCAGCAGGACGGCGAGTATATCTCTTCTGGGTTTAGGTCCACTCACTCCTAACCACTTATTCGATCCTCAAGATGAGAATGATGCCTTTGCCCAAAGTGGATTCCAGTTGGTGCAGGACTCCAAAGGCGTTCGGGTGGCCGCTGCAACCGGCGCCGTGGTCGCGGGAGCGGACAAACCGTCGAAGCATCAAAGTAACAATAAAAGTAATTCAAGTGAAGATAAACGTCTTGGTGGCGGAGGAGGAAGTCGGCAAACTGGTGGTAGCAGCAGCAAGACTGGGGTATCTGCATGGACCAAGTTCTCTTCTGTGACGGCTGGGCTGTTCAAACATAAGAGCAGCTCATCATCATCAGCAGCAGCAGGAGCCTCCAAGCATAATAGTTAGAGCCGTTACCACACCATAAGCCACTGTCAATTTTGCTTTCAATTTACTACACCTTGTTGGGTAGTTAGTGGGGATGTTGGGGCCTGCACTACCGACCGGATTATCTACACGAAAGTAGACGGCAATACACGAGTGCACACGATCTCGCAATATTGTGATTGCAGCGTTCCTGATCTCATTGGGCTGAAGCCAGAACAACCGTTGAACACAAGACTGGGACTCTTCCGAAAGAGAGTATTCACTGGCATGGACCGCTCAAACTGAAGGCCTCAGCGACTTCTTGCGGGCTCTTGTACTTGTGTACTGAAAGGACTCCCCATGGTGCAGTGAGGACGCTCTTAGATAGAGTGCCTACAGGTTGCTGCCACATACCCTCAACGTGAACTCGTTCGACGTTGGCAGCATCAGCGCATCTGCCTAGCATGACGTCAAAGTTAGTGTTGCTCATCTTACAACTGCCACTGTTAGCAGCATTGACAAGGGCGTGCGCGGCTGACATTGTTAGTATCACCCCGGCTCCACCAGTAGGGTAGGTCGTGCCCCAAGCCTTGTACATGTAACCGTGCATGCTGAGCCGGGGTGGCTGTAAGTCGGCCAGCAGGCTGGGTAGCAAGTTGAGCTTCCATGCTGTGTCAGAATCGAAACCAACAATGTACTTGATTTCACCCTCGATGAATTTGCGTACAATCCATTCTAGAATTACGAAAGGTCGTTGTTCGTACGGCCGTTTATGCTTCCAACCCATGAAGCGTTCATCCACCACTTCAATGACGTTAGCTTGCGGGCACGCACTTC